TTCCTTTTTTTTTTTTTTTTTTTTTTTCGTGCTTATATTTTATTGTATCTCATACATTTCTTCAATTTCAATAGCTTGTAAGGAGGCCTAATACGAACTGTGATTTGCAGATATAGGAGGAAAAGAGATAGATTAGTAGAACACACATCTGCTGCTCAGATACCTACCATGTGGGGCCCGTTCAATGCCCATTGTTACAGGTCCATTATAGATGGAATTGAGCATATCGCCATGGTTAAGGTAATGCTTTTGGAAATTTTAAAATAATATATTTTCCAAGGAAGTTTATACCCTGCACTTTGATTTTTAGAAAGTCTCCGTCTGACTTTCTCATTCCATTTCTTATGATTATCAATCCTCGATTGCAATGTTTTCAGCTTCAACTTAGTCTGTTTCTGTACTTTGAAAGCTATTCTAATGGGATATATGGTGTAAGCAGGGCGACATTGGTGATGGACTTGATGTTTTAGTCAGAGTGCACTCAGAATGTCTTACTGGGGATATATTTGGATCAGCTAGGTGTGACTGTGGGAGCCAGCTGGCACTTGCCATGCAACAGATTGAGGCTGCTGGCAGAGGTGTCTTGGTTTACCTCCGGGGGCATGAGGGAAGGGGAATTGGTTTGGGCCACAAGCTTCGTGCATACAACCTGCAAGATGCTGGGCGTGACACCGTCGAAGCAAATGAAGAGCTTGGTTTGCCTGTTGATTCAAGAGAGTATGGGATCGGTGCACAGGTATTCTAGTCGTGTAGCATTGCACGTGTAGCACATAGAATTGAATTGCCAAAAACTCTATTTTCTTTGAGTTAGAGACACACTTGCACGCGCGCGCGCGCACACACACACACTACATGCATGGACTTGTGTTAATGCTCTGATAACAATAATGAAAATAGCAGCCCTCTCTCCTCTTAACCCCAAGCCCAAACAAAAAAGAAACTGAAAAGCTCGCATAAAAGCACAAAAGTTAAAGAAAAAATGGATAACATAAACACAGGAGGGAACTTTATACAGGAAAAGACGCATTTATTTCACTCTTAAATCTGTACGGTTCCGTACATTCAACATATGTTACCATAATATGCAAGATATAGTGTTTAGTGTCATGGTTTTACTTTTACATTTATTTCATGGTCATTAAGAAGTAACAAGAAAACTTCACCACAACAAGGTTCATTATTAAATTGAAATAGCACAAAGGAGTAGTTCTCAGTTATTTGGCATGTTACTTGTGGTTTTAGATTTATGTGAAAAAAATGCTATTATATATCAATTTGAGTGCGTGTTTGTTCCTCGGAAAAAATTTAGACTCCTATATGTTGAAGTCATAATTTTTTTTTTCCTTTTTTTGAATGACCGTGGGTGTTCAGGCTAGCTTATGTGCATCTCGACTAATCCCACGGAACTCTGAAATTTACAGTCGGGTATTCACCTCAGTGGCCCTGAGGGGATTCGAACTATATATTATTGGGGAGCAAATCCAAAGCCTGACCATTGAACTACCCCTTAGGGTTGAAGTCATATTATTTTATTGAAAAGCTTTCCTCTTCCTAAACCATTTATAGTTCCAATATTTGAATCTCCTATGTGCCCATTTGTTATCCATTCAGCATGAAAATGTTGGAGTCGTTGACAGGTTTACAAAGATTTTGATAGCTTGTACTTAGAAATTAAGCAAGTTGGCTATTGCCTTTTTTGCCTGCGATAGTGATACAAGACCTCTTTTTTCCGTTTTGGTAGATGCTAGACAATCATTGATTTTGTGAGCATGTTTGACTGTGCTTCAAAGTTACAATTTGAGAAAGCAAATTAGAACTTGCTTTTCAATAGTAAAAACTTAACTAAAAATTATATTTGGCGAAGTAACTTAACAGTAGGTTAGACTTTTAAGCACACCCAAATATGCCCTCGTATTTTGCTCATGGATTTGGAATTTTTGAAGCCAGTAAAGTGGCATATATGAAAAAGTGGGTTTGCACCGCTTTGTAGGATGAGTTATTTGACTCCAGTTTATATGGTTTTGGGTTATCTACTACTTGACGGTGTTTTGACCATTTTCATTCTTTCATTTGAATTCAGCACGTAAAAGTACAGATTTCAGCTAATTTACTAGTAGTGCGTCAAATCAAACTTGTGTATCTTTGTGTCCAGATATTAAGAGATCTTGGGGTTAGAACTATGAAGCTGATGACAAATAATCCAGCGAAGTACAGCGGGCTAAAGGGCTATGGTTTAGCTGTTGCAGGAAGAGTTCCTCTTCTGACTCCCATCACGAAGGAGAACAAGAGATATCTAGAGACAAAACGTGCTAAAATGGGCCACATTTATGGCATTGGAACCAATGGCCTCCCTAACCTTATTAACGGTAAGAATGGGAAATCAGGTGCAGAAAGTTCAGCTGCATCTGAGTTGTAAAACCATTTGCCTGTTTTCGACACACTACCCATACATGTAGATGGACTAAGAGCAAGAGGAGAGGCTACTAGTATTCTTATCCAAATCAAGAATGTGACAAAAAATGGAATAACTAGCGTATTCTATTGATTTATTTGGATCATCTCAAATTCTTATATGATTCTTCCTGAGAAATGAAAAGATAGCTGATCATTAATTGAACCATTGTTTCCTCAAAAAGTATATAACGAGCATTAATTGTCATGGATTCTAGCTAGTCATTGGGTTCATTTTCATTATGTACGCTATTCTTCTTGGTAAACATGTACCAAATGTCAATTTACGTTAAAAGGAATTTACATTGTTTTTCACGAACTGATGAGATCAAATGGTTATAAATGCAAAATAGAGATGTAAAGTGAATTAGATTG